CCTCCGAGCTAGATGGACGATTAGATGCTGATAGCCACTGGGCACTCAATCTTGGTCCCCACTGTGACACAGAATCCTTACCCATTCAAGCTTTCTCCAGGGGTGTTTGAAAATGTCCCCAGCTTTGTTGATGAAGAAGTGAAGGTGGCTGTGATCAGAGACACTCTGCGCCTCATGGACCCTCTTAAGAAGAAAAGAGACAGCCAGTGAGTATTTCTCTATGCCATTGTTTTCTATGAGCTCTGCTTCCTAACTCTGTTTCATGTCCTGAGCAGGTAAGTCAAGTTCTTGGAACCTGTTAACCTCATGAGGGAGATTTGCATATTAAACAATCTAATAGATCATATTTTCATTGTATAAATATCAGCACCCAAGCAACCGGTGACTCAAAATCTGGCAAGTGGCGTTCAGATGATGAATTTCTGACTTGATTGTTATTCAGATCTTCAAAAGTCTTGTCTAAGAACCCATTTTTCTCTCAGGGATGGGATCTGCACTTTACCCATCCTTGTCCACATAGCATTTCTCTTTGAAATCCACAAGCACAGGAAAAATAAAACATAATGCGAGAGAATAGGGCCACAGGGAATTTGGACATGGTGAGAGCTGCCTCCTTTTGATTTTCTTCACGATGTTTACACTATTACAGAGTAAGCATCCAGTTTCCAAATCGGCAGCACCAACTCAAAGACATTTCTATCATATTTGCGACAGTTATAATTCTTCTCCATCACCCCCTACCCACTGGGACATCACACTGGTGGGTATCTGTGCTCCACCCTCCCTCCACGGACTTACCCCAGAAATGGACGATATGTTCTCTGTTTTGCTTTTACCAAGTTCCAGACCCTCATAAAGTAAGGATTGTGTAAATATCACTGTGCCTATGTCTGGGGCAGAAAAATCAAAGACAGGCATCTCCAACAACACTTCTCAGACCCCCTGACAAAGCAGATTGACCCCAATGCTCCCAGACAAGTAAAGCAGCTGCCAGCAATGGTGCGGGACGGGGAGGAGAGCCGACTTTCCTGAGCAAGTGGCGTTGTGCAGGTTCCTGCACTGAGGCTCCTCCTAATGGGGCTGAAGCCCCCATGTTGTTAGAAACCATCGACATTAGTGCTTTGCACCTTTGTGCATTGAAACCATCTGGGGAGCTTTTAAAAATACACAGTACTGGGGCCTCCACTTTGAGCAATGCTGATCTTAATTAGTCTGGGCTGGAGGCCTGACCACAGAAAGTTTTTGTTCCCTAGGCGGTTCAGTGTTCTGTGCAGCCAAGGTTGAGTGCCACTGCCCGACAGGAAACGTTACCCTGAAGGAGCGTTTGTCATATTCTGAGTCAGCCTGGATGGCGCCTGCTCGGCTGAGTTCTTTTCAAGAGCGAGGCCCAGATTGCCATCCTTGGCGAGACTCAGCAGGGAACAGCTCACCTGTGGTTTGTACGGGCCAGTCCTGCCACGTGTGGCTTCCCCTGGTCAGTGCCTCAGAATGGCAGCGTGTCCTCTGAGCAGCTCAAACACGCCGGTGGCCACATAGCGTTCACTGACACATACGCGCATGCAGCTGCCTTCTCTCACCAGCCCTGAGGAAAAGCAATGGATTAATTGCAATCTGGTCAGATTAACTGCAATAAACTCATTCCTCAAAAATTGACTCTCTAAGAGTTATTGATCTCACCAACCAGCAGAGATTAGGCCCTAAGAGACTGTAAGGCCCTGTGGGGAAATGCTGTGGTTATTTCTGCCAGTGTGGCACGATCTTGCAATTATTTCAGAATGACCTTGACACATTGGCACTCTGATTCCTTTGGGGAGAACAAGAATTTCTAAAGCTGTTGTGTGGTCTTGAGCCTTCTTAACCTGTGCACCAAAACCTGAAAAGATGAAAGGGTTCCACTGTATTTTTCATCAAACAGCTCTGAAGCAAAATTAGCTTCCTTTTTCTTGTTCTAGTTGGTTTTCTTTACCTATGCCTGGATAGTCCATATAAGCCGTATTCTGCGTAAATACGAGCTGCAGATCTAAAATTGAATAGCAATGGAGCTACAGGACCATGGGGAGGATGGCTTATCAAGTCACAAATAGCAGCACCTCATTTTTAGTTTAAAAAGCACTGACTTTTTTATTGATAACCACGAATAGTTAGGACTCCAAGAACTTGACTTTATTTCTAGTGAAAATCCTTTTATTTCACCCACTTCTTACTTAGAATGTAAGGGTGAACGTTAACAGCTAAGTGCCATTTACTGATATTTTTTTCTTAATTTCACTTTCTGTTAACCCAGCAATGATTATCCATTAAAGCACTTTGTAATCTGTAAAGCGCATGTATACATAAGGGATTATCATTATCATTTTGATGACTCTGCCAGGCAGAGGAAAATGTTGAAATTATTCTCAACTCTTTTGTGTATAGAAAAGTTTCAGAATAACTCGGAAAAGCACCAGATTTATGCCCACAGAAACCGCATAGCGTTGTAGTGTTGGATCTTGAGTGTCCAAACCAGAGACCATGTCACTCCAACTGTATAAAATGACATCACATAGACTTTAGAAGCCAGAGTTCCCCTCATTTGCATAGGCTCTGACCTAAACCTTACCAATGGTATCCTAGCCTTACCTTTGAACTCTTTAGTAAAAGAGGGTCTGAAGGGTCCCTCATGGGTTTTTTTTCCTTGAGGACAGTTTGTCAGTGAGACTGTTAAAGATGGTCTTCACTTTCCCCACGAGACTAAAGGAAAAAGGTAGATACCCTGAGCCCCTCAGTTCCTACGGGGATTCCAGACACACATCCACGTCTCAGGCGTCTGAGCGCACTCCGGGTCTACAACTTCTCTTGAACTGAAGAGACAGATTCAGATCCTGAGGACAGGGTGGCACAGTGTGGCAGGTTTGGGCCTCAGAAACCTTTTCTATAAAATGGGAACAGTGACATTTGAACAATGAAGGGAACTTTTGGTATCTAGCAGACCCACAGTCATGCTTAGCTTACTACTCAACAGTCAAAGTACCTACTAGATGCGAAACAAGCAAAAATAAAAACAATGCTGATTGTTTCTTCCCTTGGCTGCTATGTCTAAAGTAGAATTTTGAATTTAACCCCAGCAGCACATCCTCAAACTGAAGCTGCTCCATTACTGTGGACTAGAATAGACATTGGAGCTGGTCAGCAGTGGAAGGTTCTGTTTCCAGGAACAAGATGTCACTGGCCCATAGTTTTTTGCTGTGTTAGAAGAAACCACCTTTGGTTCCGAAAGAAGGAAAACAGCTGTCATATGAGGACAATTTTGACTATGGTAGCATTTTTTTTTTTTTTTTTTTTGAGACAGAGTCTTGCTCCCTCACCTGGGGTAGAATGGCATGGCGTCACAGCTCACAGCAACCTCAAACTCTTTGGCTGAAGAGATCTTCTTGTCTTAGCCTCTTGAGTAGCTGGGACTACAGATGCCCACCACAATGCCTGGCTAGTTTTTCTATTTTTAGTAGAGTTGGGGTCTCACTCTTTCTTAGGCTAGTCTCCAATTCCTGAGCTCAGGCAATCCACCTACCTCAGCCTCCCAGAGTGCTAGGATTACAGGCATGAGCCACCATGACTGGCCTATGGTAGTATTTTATAATAAATAGTGACTGGATTGGTTTTCAATCCAGTTCTGTGGAGGCCCTGGAGAGACCTCATGGAGTGGGATTCTGTATATGGAGGTAAAATTTATGTATTATAACATTAACCATTGGAAAGTATAAATTCAGGGGCATTTAGTACGTTCACAGTGTTGTGCAATACCACACCAGCTAGATCCACAATATTTTGCTACTCCAAAAGGAAGCCATGATGCAGTTACTCCTGACTCCTCCCTCTTCCCTCAGCCCCTGGTAACTACTAATCTGTTTTCTGTCTCTATGGATTTACCCATTCTGAATATTTCATATAAATAGAATTACACCATATGCTGTGTTTTGTGATAGGCTTTCACTTCGCATACTGTTTGCAAAGTTCACCCTTGTTGTAGTAGGTGTCAGTATTTATTCTTTTTTGTTGCTACATAATATTCCATTACATGCATATAGCACATTTTAGGGCAAACCATCACTTTTTTAACCAGAGGGATGCTGCAGGTATTTATTTTGTATTTTGGCAATCTATATTAGATTGCATTTGAAGAGAGAGAGTCTTTTATGCTACAAGAAGGTTTTAGAACCCGTGATTTAATTCTACATCCTCATGTTGTTGATGGAGATCATCATGCTGGTCAGCTTCCTGGTTTAAGAATCTCCCCTGTGAGTGTCCTACCAGGACACTGGACTTGGCTTCAGCCAGGTCTGGGGTGAAACTCTTACTAATCTCTGATCAATGTAGCATGAGCTTGGCCATGTCACTTTGTTCTCAGTTCTTGTATGTAAGTAGAAATCAAGGTCCCTCAGCTGGATTGTCATGGTCACAATATGAAATGACACATGTGAGAGAGCCTCATGAAATCTGGTGGTGTTAGACAAATGCTAGTTCTCAGGGTCACCAAGTAGCCAATCAGACTTTAAAATGTTGCTGATGGTGACAAATAATTCGCCACCTCCTGAGGCAGCTATTTGAGTTGAGTCCATGATGGTTCTACCCCCGCCCCTGAATCACACATGAGGAAATTAAGCAAGCAGGAGTGAGTAACCTGCCCCAAGTCACAAAGCTAGCTGGAGGCAGGATAGAAACCAGGGCCTGGGCCTTCTGACCCAGGAGTTACACCAGTGCCCCACACCTGTCCTTGTGGGGCCATTGGTTGCCAGGTTCCACTTTACATGCAAAGCATAGCTTCAAAGATAAGAAAAAAAAAAATAGGGAAAACCAACAGAAAATTTCCCCTTTACTTAAAATTAAAGTATTTGGCCTAAGTCTTTCATTTTTTAAAACTTGTATCAGAAGCAGAAGTGAATAAATTGTATCCCCTGATGATTTTTGAAGCTAGATGATCATTCTACCAATGGATTAATGTTTGGAAGATCAGTTTACCCCTGGGGGAGCCATTTACTAGTACTGTTCTCCTTGCCCTGAACGTAGATATTTCAGGTAACTGGACCTCTCTCTCAGGAACCATAACCCTTTAGGACCCCAGAGTAATATAAATGAAGGCAGAGATAGGCTTGGAGCAATCTGAGGGGAATTATTGAAATGGCCAAGCCGCACAATGCCTGGAGCTGGGGTGGAGAGTGCTTGCCTCTTA